AACAGCAGAATTATTTGCCCAAAGACGCAGAGTGCAAGTTTGCAAAAATTAAGATTCTGGGAATGCTCAAATGGTGCGAGCGTTTCAGTAGTTTCATTTTCCAAATCATTTTGATGCACGAAACTGAGGCAGCGATACCAAAAGGCCACTGTTTCAGTCACAGAGATGGCTGCAAAGTAACCGGGATTTTAAGCAAATTCAGTGGTCCTAAATCAGTCAAGCTTTACAGGTTGTGCTTCAATTGTCGATCAATCTGCGCACAGGTCAGCTCTGAGGGCGACTTCCTGCCGCGACGTGTGAGATTACACCGAAAATTCCATTCCGCGCACACGTACAATTCTGGCGAGACAGAGAGAGAGTAGCCTTCATTCGCGGTTGCCAATCGTATTTTAAACGGAGCGCTCTTGGTTTGCGAAAGTACTGTGGAAAGATGGAATGGTCTCTAGCCGCCTGATGCAGCTTCTGATAGATTCGGTTTAGGACTTCATAAGCAGACTTTGCAATAAGCTTTTTAACGGATTTAAGCAATTTGTTGTATATAGCAAAGGCAATACATTGGTGTGTGCGCAAACGTGCAGAAACACAGAAAAACTTTAAAACCAGTTGTAGACGTTGGTCTGTTAAGTGTGCACTCGCGGACGTTTGTACAATAGAAAGGTCTGACCGAACCACAGTAAAAGAGCCTACACAGGTAGATGTACGATAACATTTGCTTCGGAAAACTGAAAAACCAGGAGCTACGAAACAGTTCCAACCTGTCTAGGTCAGGGAGAGTACGCCCCAAAGTAATATCTTGGAGCCATAAGCAAATATTCAGGATCAAGGCGCTTGCACTAGACGTCAAAGACACCGCCAGCAACAGGTGGCTGTCCTGCAAAGATAAGGTGGCATCGGAGAGACAGCTTCCTTGCTACTTTCTCTGTCTCACCTCATAAGAAGCTATTACCCCACAGATAACATAGCACCAAACACATGTGACCCAGACAGTCCTACTAGGAGACGAAAAATGACACAGCACTTCTGTCAACTGCTAGCCATGTACTGCAAACTCTGGAGACAAGAAAAAGGCCAGTCACATGGAATCCAGCCTGGAAGCCGTGGCAGACCGATGGCACTCAGTCTGGTCCTCAGTGCCTACATTTCCCGCCGCCAACGCAACGTATGTCGATCTCGAGCCTTGTGCCACTGTATATCTGGCAGACAATACCAGGCTCCTCTCGCTAGACGGCGACCGGGCATATGTAGTACGTGCCCAAGCCAACGCAACTTATTCTGCGCTGGCTGTTTTCCTTCATACTGGCTTGGTTATCACTATCTAGTAATTGCCGGCGCACATCATCGCTGCAGGCACGCTGGTGCCACCCGACATTAGCAATGCCCCGCAGACAGCGATGATCAAAAACTTGAACGTACCTCAGATATTCAGACCGAAGGGGAAGTCTCACTCCCATAGAGTAGAAAGGCCAGCATAGTGGGCTTGTAAACACGGCTTTTCAGATGGAAGGAAACCCATTTCTGTCTCCATGGATGTCACACTCAAGAAGAGAGTTCTGGCCATGGCAATACGTTAAAGTACTTCAGTTGCTTTGCGGTCATTTAGCTAACGAACCTGCCAAGTTAATGGAATCGAGCAACTACCTTGGGGTTTCTGTTATCAAAGGTCAAGAAGTCATCAAGTGGCTGGGTGTCCTGCAGCAGAAATTTATGCTTTGATATTGCGAAGTATACACACTGGCATAAATTGTCCTCGAAATGACAATGGAGACGTATTCATATTTTAATTTAGTTTTACCAGAGCGCACTATAAATTTTATTGACAAATGTTTTACTGACCCAAACGGCTGCATCCAATTTAGTGTACGCATTTTTGGGCATGATTAAGATTCGGCATGCTCGCATTTACCCCATTTTTACATGTCAGCGTTTGGTAGCAGCTAGCTATGTAATATGTACAGGCTACGTGAGCTGGAACTGTACTATTTATGTGCAAATTCATGCGGTGGGTTTTACTTAGAATTAACCAAACACACACATGCTCATTCTGTTTACGCTCATGCGAACCAAAGAACTTGATATACATTGACCAAGCCCCACATCACATAATATACACACGTAAAGTATGTGAACTTCCGGGTTAATTATATTTGTTTCTGAGGAATAAAACTGAGTTATTCATTTGTACTCTTGACTAGTATAAGTGAAATATAAACTATCGTTTTCTTTATCACTCTGGATGAACCAATGTAAATTCAATTATCAACTAAAAAGGTCCGATCATCTGATGGCAACAGCAGTGGCTTGCATTTTATGAAAACATGTGGATCCTTTATGTGCAGTTCGTAGACTAATTCGTTACGGAAAACTCGGAAGTAAAGTTTGCGCTTTCTGACACATTTTCTGCCATTTTAAGGAAATCTCATTAGATTTGTGTGAATATATTGGACTATAACGTATATTCGTTGTCAACGTTTCTGTACAGCGACTGCGTATCTTGTGCGGTATGTGTATTATTTGTTCTCAAACTGACGTTTGTACGATTGTACTTAAAGCAAAATACTTAGTTGAGAGTTTAATAACTCACTACCTTTGCTGAACTAGAAGTATAATAAGAGAACGCGATAATGTATAAGTGTACTACGCTTGTCTGAGTTACCGCAACCGAATACACATTGTAACTTTGACTTGTTTTGTAAACAGTTGTTGAAAATTTTGAACACCAACACATCGAAGGCGATGTTCTTGTGGGTATCAAATGAAACAAATAGGTTGTGTGTCTAGGAGATCACAAACGACCAAAGGGGTACAAGCGAACTAAAGATGCATCCGTTTTTTCCCCCATATATTTTAGTGACCATAATGTTTCTTCACTTAGGATCAAAATAGGGTGCTTGCGGACTAAAAAACGTACTTATTTCTTTAAACTGACATTTAGTATTTCTCAAAACATAAGCACGATTTGTGCAAATCTAACACTTTATTGAGCTTAATCAAATGTATTTAGATGTTATTCGGTATAAACTGTATTTTTAACTTTGCGCCTCAGGTTACATTCAACCTCGAATCACGGTCAGAACATGAAAGGAGGTAGATTCATGCATTTCAAAATGCATGCACCTACCAACTTTCGTCTTCTTACTATGCATTTCAAATTTCTAAAGGGAAATAACTGCTTTAATTCTAGAATCGATTACTTTAAATAAGTTGGTAAAAGTTATCAATTAATCAGAGCACCCAAGGTGTTATTCAGTTTCATACCATGGTAATTTAGTGTAATGATATGTGTATTCTAAGTTAATTAAAACCTGAAACCATCGTTATAGTTTTGTCATCCATTTTGTATGGTAAATGGGTTACATTCCTTGTATGCCTTGCAATACGGGGTATAGTTATGTTACATTTCATGAGATATGGTATGGAGGCAATACGCGCATTATGAGTGCATGCATGATCATAGCGAATACTTACTAGAAGATTAAAATAAATAATCAAATGTCAACTACTTCACCGCATGTATTGGCTCACAAGGTACGTGGACCAAACTTTTTATTGAGACATGATTATATCGAGTATCTTGGTGGGGAGTGTGTGTGATGACGAGATTTTGCCGCTAACAGTCAGATTGCGCTAGAATTATCCATTAAACCATCACTTATAATAAGACGAACACGTTAAGCCTGATAAAGTGAGCGCGTTTATGTTGCCGAATTGGTAAGGCGACCATAAGTCCTTGTCTTCAAATGCGTCATAAAGCAGGGAAAGTGTATGATTAATGGAAGCCATATACTTCATCACAACTTTGTCTCTCTGAGTTTATTCGCAATACGAAATAGTGTGTGAATGTGGACGAAACTAGAAACAATCGAAAATGGGACATCTTGCTCCCAGCATAAAAAGCATTCAAATAGGAGTGTCTGATGTAAAACAACACTAAATAATTCACGTAAATATTGTAAAGAAACTCGCGAATACATTTTAAAATAGTAGATTTAGTAGGGTTGGGTCGCCAATGCACCGTTCAGATTAGCTATCTTAGTAGCATCAATAGCGCGTTTACAATTTCTTAACTAACGGCAACAGTTTTCGAAATATCATGCATGAAAATCAGGTGAACTATTGCAATGGAAATAATTCCTCTGTTCATTCAAGTGGAAAGGAGAACAACTGCTGCGACCTTTTTCCTCTCCTGGTCAGCATTGGCTTTGAAATAAATGGGAACAGCCGTAGGTCGATGTGTGGATGCGGATTTTGAACTGTTCACCGAGGTGAGCGATTATTATGCAGAGGTTGCGTTGTCTTATTAGGCAACACCATCAGTGCGGCTTTCGGGGACCTGGTTCGCAATGCTTCGTAAGCGACATTGAAATCGCTTACGAAGCACTGCGAACCAGGCCCCCTAAAGCCGCACTGATGGTGTTGCCTAATAAGACAACGCAACGTCTGCATAATAATCACTCACCTCGGAGAACAGCTAAAAATCCGCAGGATTTGCTTTCTGATTGAATCTAGTGCCTCAAAATTTATGAGGACTTACGGCTAAAAGTTAATAATAGATCATCAAGAAGACGCTACTTTCACTTAACTGGACGAAATTATGTCCGTGGCTGTAATATTGTAAGGCTGGATTAATGTAATCCGTATTTGTTTATGCTCCAAGCTAGCTTGCAAGCACTATGCCAGAGACACAGTAAAACTAAGCTGAATACCACTGTACTTAGTTTGCATATTTGAAGACACAGCAGCAAAACCAGGCTATTTATGGTGACTGTGTAATCACATCAACATTTCGTTTGTGCACAAAAGCAACATGGTGTAGGCGGTCCGATGAAAGTTATCGATAGAATACTAAGGGAAGATAACTGTCAAATATACGTAATCCACTTTTAACAAAACGCATTCGTCTATAGTCAAACACAGGTTTTAAGATAGTTGAACACAGGATTTCATCTCGTCTGGTTGATACACATTTGTCAACGTTGAACCTTCAAACCCTGCATAAAACAATGCTCGATAATAGGGAAATTTTCCGCTTAATTTATGTCCAACAGCTATCATCGCGATCAGGTTTTGTCAGAATTTTGGACGGAGGTGATTGCGGAGCTGAACTCATTCATATTTTCCATCAGCAAACGCCTTTAGTCAAACGCACAATCTACGGTACAGCAAACGCAATGATAGTTGTCCTCGCAGAACCAGGTGAACACGGCGCTACATTCAATGCAACCGTATCATTCAGTAAGTTCCGGTTACGTTTTTTGCATATTTGTTGAGCTTTTAAAGTCCAATGTATCGATGAAGTACATTGTGGGGGGACATATAACTGAGTTCCAAATGTTTTGTAAAGCATAGATGGCATTTCATTTCCCACAATGAAACACTGTGTGCAAGCTTATATAATGGCCCCTGACGACCTCTTTGAGATATGTTTGTTTGTGTTTCAAAAGCGAATGGCATGTATGTTTGGGGCTTTTAAGGATCCGATACATCATAATGAGATCACCCCATAGACGCAGATAACGGCCGCTATATCTTATGAATGTTTAGTCTCAGTGGATAAGGAAGGTGAGACCAAATTCTGACGTACATTTTTGCATTGCGTTGCTTAGTATGGAGCGCGACGAGGTCGTGCTTCTACCAGGGTTGCCACCCTTGCATAGCCTAACCCACTTGCGGTTCCACCTGCACATCAGTCATAACCGGAAGGACTGTAGAGTCAAAATGCCGATGGTTGTAAGAAGAAGACGGAACTGCTGGTTTGTTTTGTTTTATGACTTTTCAGCCTGCCTCAAACACCCAATCTTCTCTTAGGCAAGCATTCCAAGATCAAATTCATGAGGAGCCCGCTGTGGAATTTATTGCCCTAAGCGGTAGTTGGAACTAATCTGATGGCATATGCTCAGATGTTTGCGCCTTGTGTAGTTGAACTGCGGCATTTTCTCAATGGACCATGTGTAAACTTCATCTAGCTGGGTCATCGTTCATGGCTGTTTCATGCTCCGCTGTAATGATAGCACGCCATATCCTTAGATCATCTGCAAATAGCAGACTGTTAGAAGACAGCACAGTTGCAATATCATCTATGAAAACCAGGAACATGGGTGGCTTGAGAAGAGAGCCCTGATGTTTGCCGTTCAGAACTTCGATTGGTTTAGACAGGATACTGCGAACCCTTACATTCAGGTGAGGATTAACGAGAAAATTAGCTATTCAGCACAGAACGAGATAATCCAGAACAGAAATTTGGAGTTTGTGCACTAGAATGTGATGTTCCAGGTGGTCGAATACCTTTGAGAAATTCAGGTTGGCCGCATATAGCCTTGCAGCAGCGTCCTTAAACGCCGTCCAGCTTGCACAAGCTATCAACAGATTAGGAGTACAGGATCGAGTTTGGCGAAATCCACGCTGGTCCGGAACAAGGATTTTCTTATTCTTAGTGAGCGCCCCAGTTACAATAGACTCCATGATCTTAGTGATCACCGGAAGTAGGGTTATCAGGCGATAATTCTCTGGTTCTGCACAGATACCACTTTTGTAGATTGGAGTGATGATCCAGAGCTTCCACAACGTAGGGACATGCAATTCTTTAAGATATCACTGAAAGATATTTGCTGATGATTTAGCTAATTTCATGGCAGGCTATGTAGTTATCAGTTCCGCTGTTATACAAGCCTTGCAGACAATTGCATCGGATGTATATGTCGGTTTTGGTCCCGGATAAATTTTCATCATATCTATATATTCCGCTCTTGATGCAATTCGATATTGCATTTGCTGAGTATATAATGTGAGCACAACTAAAGAGAGCCCAAATTAGTTGCACCAAAAACAACGCAAATGCATAAGTGTCATAGAGAAAGCAACAGCACACACTGATTTTGACGAAAAATAAGCAGCTTTACAGTTCAGTAGGATAGAACACTAACGTAACTAGAAATTTTGTCGCATAGAAGAAAACAAATGTGTGAGCTATGAAAGTATTATGGAGAAAAAATGCCAGTCATGAACAATCATAGTTTCATGAATAGAAAAGAATAGAATATGGTTGTGTACATATATTTCCGAGTACCTAAGATGTCTTCTTAAAATCAACGAAGTTGACTAGCATGCATTTAGTGGAACCACCCACTCGACGTGGTTCGTGTTATATTATTGTGAAAGAACGATATTTGTACCAAGTTCGTGAGAGAAATATCGTGTTGACGCGGCTTGATTCAGCTAGATACCGCTCCTGTAGCTGCTTTGCAAAGATTTGAAGATGGCTGGACCAGAAACAGTAAAACATTACTTGGAAAAATTCAACGTCATGGCTTTACTGCAACAAACATCTCTTCATGACCCTTCTTAAAATACAAACCTACTACTTGTAAACTCTTGTGGGATTGAAACCGCCAATGCTGGTGTGGGAGTTAACGTGTGTTATCCAGTAGCGTCAAATGTGTACCCCCTCTATAATTCATCCAATGTTACTTCACATGCTCTAGATACTTGGAATTGCTCATCCTGTGCTAGGTTGCAAAGAATATTTTCTCTTTCAGTGATCTCCGATTGCAGTAACTAACCCGACCCATTTAAGATTGACACAGCAGTCAGTAATGAGTCCACGTCTACTTTCTATTCGCACAAGAAACCTCGCATGCGTTATCACCACAGATTTCATATTGCGGGCTGCTGATCAAAGCTAATGGGAGCCATCAAGACAACGGATGACCACGTATCACCGCATGATGATTGCGTCTGTGTAGTTAAGTAAACGATCTAAAAACTGCTCCCTTTCACCACAGGCAGATATAGGTCATTGAAAGTAAGCCATCAATGCACACACAGATGCAGGTTTGGGGTTAAACCAATATAGCCCGTTCCCATCAAATGCGACCTAGGTGTGTTCGTTCAAACGGATATGTTGACTTTTGGCCTATAGTTCCACGTTTAGAAAGTTTTGGAAAAATTCAAACAGAAAAGTTCCTACTTGAAAATGATGTTTCTGTGATCCGATTCCACCATCTACTTCCAGATTGTCAGGGTTTATATTTGGCCTCACTCAGAATATGACATTCACTCCTGGGTTCATGGTTAGAGCACGATTTTACGTAACTCGTTTTTACACACCAAAGAGGGACCAAGAATTTTTCCATTATCCCAACTCGCTGATCCTGAAAACAATTGAATCTGCCGTATAAACTAATAGCGCTTGCATGGCGATTGTACAATGTTGCACCAGATAAGAAAAATTCCAGCGACGTTTATCGCTACCTACTGAGACCAAAACACGATGCCTCCACGACAGTACATTCTTTATAACTGGCTAGTCAGGATAGACAGTTAGCATATTGATAGACATTTTTGCTTGTTGGTAGAAGGATTTTGGCGAATTTCTGAGTTCGTCGCAATCAGCCGACAATTCAGATAACCTAATAACCAATCCGAAAAAGCACCAGACGGCAGTTTTGCCCTATTAGGGCTCGTCATTGGTGCGCATTTTCCCGTCCATGACGGCCAGTAACTTGCGCCAACTGGATCGCTGCTTGTATCACTAAGCCATGGGGACGGTAGCTGATCATCAATCCATGATGGTCGTAGTTGAGTTATCTGGATTGTCGGCTGATCGCGACGAACTCAAAATGATGGACATTTTTCCCTATTCGTATGGGTCAACCTCGGAACGCCCTCTCAAATGGTGGTATCACTTGCCCAAACTTCACACTAATGAAACGCTTGTTGTTGATTCCCTCATGTATGTACAACACGTGGTTTAACACTTCGTACGCGAGGTGTCAATTAGAACAAAACTCTGAACTTCCTACAGCGCATCAGTGGAACAGACAATGTTGATGGGCTCCTCACTACTTCTTTATTTGCGCTCCAACAATTGCTTGGTTTTAATGACGTAAGCATATTTGCAGACTTAAACACCACCACAATTTAAAGGATCTGTCAAGCATTAATTTGGTCAATGATTATATAACCACTGTAAAGCTGCGATTTGCACCAAGTGAATATAGGTATGCGTAACCAGCCTCCGGTGTGAATTAAGCCAAAAAGAATTATTTTGTATATGGTAGATCGATACAAAACTTATATTAAAGTAGACCTCACGAAGGTAAAAGCAAGCACCGCACAATTCTTTTTAACGTCCTGTTTTAATCCTCCATACGAATGAAGCGAAAATAAAAGCATTTGGCATACATAACATTACAGTATACTTGGTAGCATATATGTATGTATTAATGATTGAGTTATGCCTGATGTACGGCTCAACCCGTCCAATGTGACCCTAAACGATCCAAAAATGGCAAGCGGCAGTAAGTCATAACAAATGATGTTGGAGTTTAAACGATATCCCTAAAAGCTTTTCACGGAATTATTTTTACACTTGCACATCAGTTTGAATGCCACAATATTTAACTTCAGTAGTCCGTTTGCGTTGACAAACCTTTAAGCAACGGATGCGTGAGAACAATCCGGATTTGACCCGTGATCTAAGCAATGGGCATAAACAGCCTGACGCATTTACTGCGCGCCATGTTTATTTATCCACTAAGTCAGATGCCAAAATAAATCTTTTCAAAAATGATGGCGAAAATGACTGCTGAATAAAACATTCATTCTAGGAGTACATTGTGATTATGTCAGCATTTTGTTTTTATTGTTACCATTTTACTAGAAGCGCGGGGCAGTTGGAAGTGTTTTGCCTTCAAGTTAATATCTCGTGGATAATTAGGTAATGTGTGATATTTGCAAGGGTTATCAATGAAACAAGCGCATGGTGCAACAAACAAGTAAATGTGCCCAAAATAAAGAATGCTTAGGGCGGGATTATTAGACATAATGTTTCTCTATCCAGTGATAGCGAAATGTGCAAGCGAACGCATTGACATAACTTCTCATTTGAATCGCCTTTGCGTATACGAAGCAAACTTATAACAACACAAATAGCTTTTGGATTTGTGGATCATTTTCTCCTAGTTAGCAAGCTATTGCATTATACATTTTCGTACGCAGACAACACAGTTTCACTGGGTCTTCCACCGTCGAGAAATAGGCCAATATCATGCGAATGTCTACCTATACCTTTTTTTAATTTTTTTGTGTCCTGAGACAGATCTGTCAAGCTCAATGAAACCGCATTTCGGATTCGGAGCGCCTAGACTCAGACACACAGGGCTGCTTTGACATCCCATTTAATGCGATGTGTTGTCACCTAAATAATACTCGAGTTCATAGCCCTTGGAAAGTAA